CCCACCCTCTTATCTCCGTCCAGGTGGATCTGCTCCAGGTTGTCAGGCCATGCTGCGAGGTCTCCTTAGGTCTTCTCCATACCCGTTCTCCCAGTGCCTACATGAGCAGGACTTTTGCTTTGCAGTGCTGAGCTGGAGGCACAGAGCAGTGCTATAGTGCGGGGACATCAAGGCTGGAAGGGGGATACAGCTCTGGGCTTGGCCCAACGTTACACAGTCACGAGTGCAACGTAATGTCCCGCCATTATGTCCTCACCTCTTTTAATGCCATTTGTCCTTAACCTTGCAGGATGCAACGGCGGCGAAGCGTGAGCCAGCGGCCCCCTCCGGCTGGGCGCCCCAAGCCCCAGCCCAAGGTCACCGTCCCACGCTGCCAGGCACTGTACCAGTACGTGGGGCAGGACGTGGATGAGCTCAGCTTCAATGTGGGGGACATCATCGACATCCTCTTGGAAGGTACCCACTGGGCACTGATGCTCCAGCAGCTCTGTGCAAGCCCCCTTCACTCAGCCTTGCAGCACATCAGCATCGTGTAGATGGTTTTGACCTTGAACTGTTGCTTTTCCCCCTTTTTCAGATATCTCCGGTTGGTGGAAAGGGCGACTCCATGGCAAGGAAGGCCTTTTCCCTGGGAACTACGTGCAGAAGATCTGAGCTCCATCCAGTGGTTGCACAGCCAGATGCGATGGGAGGCCACCAAGAGGATCCTCCCACCCCACGTCCAATGACGACGTGCAACCCAAGCGAGACCCGTGTCCCTGCCCGCAGCAGGCTAATAGTGGGAAACAGCCACTGCAACCTGGAAGCCACCACAGACCCCAGAGATTTTGTCTTTGCCCATATCATTTCTGAGTCCAGCATGAGGAGGGGGCTGACCAGCTTCTTTCTGCTGATGCTGGTGTTGAATAACCACTTCCCCTCTGAGCTGGCCGCCCTCCGGGCCTGCTGTCCCCTTCGCTGGCTCCTCAGCCCGTTCCCCACCTCGTGCTGCCCGTAGCCACCGCCAGCGTCGTACCAGCGTCGTGCTGCTGGAAAATACTGAGTTCTGCAGCTACTTGAGTCCACAGCCCCAGACCTCCCTGCGCAGACAGTACGTCCCACTGCGGGAGAGGACCTGCTAAACGTGGTTCTGGGCTATAAATGGGATTATTGTTAATAGCTGTAGTTATAAAGTTACCCTGTATGCTGACAGTGACTTCTGCTCTTGGATGCCGGCGAGTTCACATATTGCAAGCACAGCACGTCTGACGCAAAAATAGAGCCAAGAATAGGTATTTGGCCGCACCCCAGATCCCTGCATGGTGGCAAGCACGATCGCAGAAGGAGGATGGCACCAGCCACAGGGCCATGAGTCCCAATGCAGCAGGATTTGTCCCTTCCCTGCCGCGTGTCGTGGGGGACGGGATCAGCCCTGCTCCCCCCGGCAGCTCAGGCGGGCTGGGGGCAGAGGGGTGCTCAGGGGACCCTTTCGCTGCGTGTCTGTCTGTCCCCACCCCCCAAAACTCTGTTTTTTTATTCCCTTTTTTTCAGGGCCCGGCCAGGCTCCTGTGTCACGGGGTGCCGGGACGGAAGTGACGCTGTTCACACGGCGCCCTTCCTCCTCCCAGGCCTCTTCCTCTTCCTCCCTCGCTTCCTCGCGGCCCACCCCCTGCCTCTGGCCAGCAAACCCATCCTCAGGCCCCAGGGATGGGAGGCAGGTGGGGCAGGGGGGAGTTATCTAGGGAATCTCTTTCCTAGGCCAGAGGCTGCCGGGAAATGAAGTCCGTCTGTCCATCCCCTGGAAAGTGAGCGTCCAGGGAAGGGAAGCTTTCAGGATCCTGCTGGGGAGGCAGAGCCTCGGCTCTTTTTTAAGGAGAAAAAAATAGTTTGGGATATTCCGGAGATTTAGTAACAACCTCTCTCTCTCCCTTCCAGACCCTGCTTGGGGCCACAAGGTGCCCAGCACCATGGGCCACCAGCAGCTGGTGCTGGGCAAGTGGCTCCTTCCCACCAGCACCAGTAGCTCTGACACTGATGCCAGGCACGGAGAGTCCCCGGGAGCAGGGCCTGCTCAGGGTGCCCCAAGTGTCCTGGGTGCTCTGAGGGGTTCGGAGTGGTCTGAGAGCCCTGGGATGCTCCAGCAGGCTTGGGGTGCTCCAAGAGCCCTGGAATGCTTCGAGGGACTCAGGATGCTCCTAGAAGAACAGGGTGCTCTGAGGAGCTTGGGATGCTTTAGGGAATGAGGGTGCTTCAAGGGCACCGGGGTAATCTAAGGAGTTCAGGGTGCTCCAAGATCTCTGGGATGCTCCAAGGGGTTCAGGGTGCTCCAAGGGGAGTGGGATGATCTTGGGGGCTCTCTGATGCCCTAAGGAGCTCAGGGTGCTCCAAGATCCCCAGGGTGCTCCCTGGGGCTTGGCAGGCTCCAAGGTGCTCAAGGTGCTTTGGGGGTCTCAGGGTGTTCCAAGGGGCTCGGGGTTCTCCGAGGGGCTCGGGGTGCTCCAAGGGGCTCAGGGTGCTCCGAGGGGCTCAGGATATTTGGCGGGGGGGAATCGGGGGGCTCCAGGGGGCACCGGGA